TTGGTCGCGCTACTAATGATGGTGCCTCATTGTCGCGTCGTTCTCGCTACACTGGTTCCGTGAGCAATCAGAATGCAGTTGGCTTGACCTGCGCCGTTTGCAAAGGGTGAGGTGGAAACTTGGCGCTTGCGGCATGTGACGGCATCGGAGGAGATGCCAACTTAAGACAGCATTGGGCACGATGCTGACGGGAAGAGCGAAGGCGACCCACCTATTAATGCGGAAGGTCAGGACTGGCTGCTCATTTGCTGTGATGAAGGCGGCACTATGTGCGTAGTTCGGGAAGGAGATTGACCGGCAACAAGCGCTGAAACAGTTTCACTCAGCCAAATGCGTGGAGCAAGAAGATCTGGTGGTGTTCTTTCGGAGACTGAACAGACACTTGGAGACTGCGCTTCCGGAGTTGGATGGCCACGCGAGAGAATGGCTACTGACAGGACAATTCGTTCGAAGTTTGCCCAAAGCCATAGAGAACAAAGAGAAATTGGCATCCATGGTTTGCGTCAGCAAGGCAGAAGAGCATGTGGTTGTGGCCTAGAGTTTTTCGCAGCCTGTGACGATGGGAAGAATCGAGCCGTAATAGTTGGAAGGCAAAGTGGACCAGCTATCACGGATGGTGGAACGGCTGTTGGGCAAAACAGCGAGAACAGAGACATAACGCAATGCCTCCGGAAGACGGGATGAGCGCCGGTTCTTCCGATGCAACCGGATGGATCATCATGCTGCATATGGTACAAACCGAAAACTTTGATCATTGTTTCTCCTTATCTATGTCGGCTTGGTGTCGTTTACCCTCCGTTGAAATAAGAATTAAGGGTGTCGTGGTCAGTGCGATAGTAGACACGGGAGCGGGTGTTTCCATTACAAAAATGTTCGATGGTGTCCCGTTAGCTCAGTCATCATTCGCGATGCAAACGGTCGGAGGACACCGTTTGAAGGTGACAGGAGCTCAGAGATTACGACTGAGAAAGGGGAAAACGGTTGTTAGCCATTCCATGTTTGTTATCGAGGGGCAACGGAAACAATCATCGGTAATGACATCCTCAAGCGGCTCGGTGCGACGATTGATTTGCGAAAGAATGCTGTAATGGTAGGCAGCGAAACGATCGAGATGAGCACAGGGAAATGCAACCATATAGGTGCGGTGACGGTTCTTCCCGAGTGCCCGAACCGTACAATACGGGACGTTCTTCAGAAGTATGCGCATTTGTTCACTGATGCGAATGACGATTACGGATTTTGCGGCTGGGTAGAACACCGGATAACCCTAATCCCAGGGGTAGTGCAAGCCGATTTTCACAAGAATACCACAGTGCACTCTGGCGGAGGTACAGAATCAGGTGGCTGTGATAGAGGCCAAAGAGATCATCAGACGAACAAACAGTCCGTATTCATCACCCATATTGCTGAGGAAAAAGGCGGACGGAACCTGCAGATGCTGCATCGATTTCAGGGAGTTAAACAGCATGACGGTGAAAGACGTATTTCCGATGTCCCAACTGGAAGAAATTTTCTCCAATCTTCACATTGTTAGGCTGGTTTCATTGATAGATCTCCGTTCAAGTTATTGACAACTCCCAGTCGCAGAAGACCAGCATAAAACAGCTTTCAGCGTGAACGGGCAGCAGTACGAATTCTTGGGAATGCCGTTTGGATTGGGTAACGCCCATGCGGCATTCAGACGCTTACTGCTAACGATCCTGGAGAACTTCCAAGATGTGGGTGTCTATGGAGATGACATTATTCTTTTCTCCGAGACGGAACATGAATATGGCACCCGCCCTGCAGCCGTCCTACAACGACTGGAGGAAGCCAGTCTGAAGCTTAGTCGCAAAAAGTCACAGATTGTTCAAAAGTCTATTCTGTGTTTGGGCCACATTATGGGGTATGGTCAAGTTCAGTCGCTTCCAGAGAAATGCAAAGTAATCAAGAATTTTGCAGCCCCGAAATCTAAACGTCAGCTCCGGTCCTTCCTCGGAATGGTTGTGTATGATTTGAAATTCGTGCCTCATTTTGCGGAGCTCAGTCAATTATTAACGCTGCGACATAAAAACGAATCGTTTGCTTAGACACCTGAATTGGATCAGGTCTTTAACTACCTAAAAGAATGCCTTGCAGAGGTGCCAAGATGTTCACGACTACGTAAGCCTGCGGAAAACTTCACCGTGGCGGTTATTGCAAGCAGCGTTGTAATCGGAGCTATGCCGTCCCAACCAGCCGGTTTGATCGAATATGTCAGCAGAGTGCTGACCAGCTCAGATCAAAAGTACTCCACGACGGAGAAACAATGCCGTGCCATTGTGTGGGTCTTGAAGAAATAAAGAACATACCTTCTAGGGACTGAATTTCATGTCGTTACAGAGTACCAGCTGCTATCATGGTTAATGACGACGAGAGATCCGCGGGGACGACTTGCAAGGCGTACCGCCTCCAAGGATTCACCTTTACAATCAAGCACATAGAGGGAATGAAGAACGTAATACCCGACATGTTATCACCTGCCTTTTGGGCTAGTCTCTCTGTAGGGTGGTTAACTTGAATCCAAGTAAACAAGGAAACGTGTCTTCTGTTTAATTGTGTGCCTACTGCTAACGCAGTGTTGAGCTTGCCTAGTTCAGCAAGGTATAAGGTTGGTTCCTTAATGTTCCAGCATTTCAAAGTTCATTACTATGGTAAAGTAAAAATACATGTTACTGCAGCAATGTCAAATTGCTTTGTTGCCACTTGCTCCAATGTTACTATTTTGCGGGACGTACTAATTACCGCGGATTAACCTTTGTTCCTTAAGGTCTTTATCATGCTCCGTAGGTGCAGCTTCGGGCTATACCTGTATTCCCAGCTGGCACATATAACAGAACACATTAAACAGCTACTCGCATACAAAACTATTCACATACTGTATACGCTGTAAGTGTCATGGTTTGGTTGTCAACAAGGCACAGAGCGAGCAATTTCAGATATTGTACGCGCCCACCGCTAGTCAAAACCAAAATCAAGTGTTGTAAAGGCCTGGCGATTTCTGCTATTTGCCTGAGTTGTTTGTGCGATATTCCTATAAAGATTACTATTTCACGGGCTACTTACGTGATAGGTGCGGAACGTTAAACAGAATGTCGAGTTCAATTGTTGGTATTGAGCATCACCATCGTGCTTTGGAACTCCGGTGCTTGCAATGTGCGACAATTTTGTGGGCTGCTTTCTTTGCGCTTCCCTAACTGGAAACATCCCTTGGGGTCATTTATTATAGCTAGGCCAACAACGGGTCTTCTACTTTACAGCATGTAGGCATCCCTGCTTTCGAGCTAACTTCTGGGACTGCACTCTGGGCTCCCGTTAAAAAGTTGGGCGGCTTTTACCGAATAATCGTTAGTCTCATTTTACAACTCTATTCATATATCGCTTTTGCTCAAATATGGATACCCAAGATTTAAGGATGTCATCTATGTTCACGTCTAAATGTTGAAGAAAACGTCAACAGTTCGTATTGGGTACTTATTCTCATGCTTGCGAAAATGGCATTTAGTCTGACCTCCAGACGATACCTACACACGTTTGTAGTATTATTTTGTATCTGAAGTTTAAGACGTCTCTATCCAGTTTGTAGTAGTTCATACTTCAATTTAGACAAACGCACATGCATATGTTGTATCCGAAATTCCATTGGACACGGATGACGCCAATCCATGTATATATGTATACCGAATGAGTTCAACGGGGATACTCAACCCGCTTTTGTACGTCCAACTTAGTGCAGGGAAGTGACACTCGGGTAAATCGAAGATAACATTACCAAGACATGAAGAAGAGGAGTTTGCGACGAACTAATGTTGATTTCAGGTGTTGAGAATCAATGGCAGACTTGATCGGTCCGAATTCCGTGGGCTGCTCAAGAGAACGGTTGCCAGGTGCAGGAAAATGCACTATTGCACGCGGAGCAGAAGCTCAATGCGTCCGTTTCCATTCGATTTAGTAATCCAGGCTAATAAGGCGGCGGCTGTGGTACGCTGGCCTGCGTGATGAGTGCGCTTGCATTTCAGGACTTAGATGTTGCTTGAGCTCTACCGTGAAGGGTGCGACTGATGTGTATGTTGACGATGTCTACCTATCTATTACACATCACCTCGTCCGTACTAGCTCCAGGAGACAGTTGGTTGTTGCTATAGGGGACGGAGTGCACCGTCCAAGTGACGGTGCCAGGTTCATTGAGTGGTTCCATGCATCCTGTGTGGAACTGGCTACGGCTCAGCCACTGCCTAGTGTATGTCTGATCGCATGTTTTCCCAATTAGTCCGGACGGCTTCTGTTCTCCTTGTTGTAAGAGTGTGGGCCGGCTACGTTGATGAAACGGCTACCATCCACATGCTTCCCGGTCTTATTCCTTCGGGTTTACACCGGATATGAGGAGTGTGTGAGTGGTGCACTGCAAACCATCCATGGTCACTTTGCAGGCGCAAGCGTCCTGTGGCTATCCCCGTGGAGACCACAGTGACAGGCAAATCCGGACACGGATGCCGCCAATCCAATGTTATCTAACATTTTCTGGTGATCTCAGTGCGACTGCCACAAACTTGTGATGCAAATCCCCAAATAACGAAGGAGATCAACAGCGATCGTGGTCTCTCCAGCTTTGGAGGTTAACAGTAGGACGATTACTGGGTGGTTATTCCTGGGGCCAGAAAGACTCAATATATGAACAGATGTGAAAAATCCAATATTCCGATTTATGGGGAAGTGTGTTGCATCCAAACATGATCGTAAGAAAGTTTAATAGGTTTCGGCTACGGTCATCTCACGGATACTCGTACACTTTGCACTTATTCACACTTGCATACATGTACGCCGCTGTGCGCTAGCGCCAACTCAAGTATCTTTGTTGAGCAAGTTTGTCTCAACCGTTCTTAAGATCCGAAAGAAGTATGGTTTTTCCAGCATGCATTTCTAGTTAGGTTCGAAATAGTTTTCTACATGATGGCAGTGTATCTAAATTGCATTAAACTTACTCTGAATTTTTCGTCTTTGCTGGCATTAAATCCATTCCATTGATACGCTTTTGTACCCAGGTCCAAAATGAATACATCGTCAGACTGTATGGATCTTCTTGTATAACTGACCTCGGACAATTCCACATGGTTTCTATCCAGCCCATGATATACTAATAGGCGGTTTCGAAACTCTTCCGGTTTTACGTGATTGAATCCGCTAGCGTATCCTCCTGCAAGTTTTCTAAAATTCATCGGTAGGTTGACAGAATGCATTGAAATGAGTGAGAGTTTTACCACATGATATCAGTGTTTCGCGTTCAAAAGTAATGTGCACGGAAGTTAACTACCTGACGAATAGCAGGCGCAACAATAGGCAGTGTACCATGAATAGAACAATGGAACAAAGGTATAATACGGAGAAAAAAGCCAAGGCTTGACTAGTCCCATGGGATGGTTTGTGGGAATGACGCTAGTTCACTGAAGTTACACAAAACATAAAAACACATCCGTGGACTCGCCATATTATCCACGTTAAAATATAGATATATCCGTCAACTTGTCCCATGCTGAGACTGATGCTGCATTCCTGATATTTCTTCACCGCAGTTGGGCTAAAGCGACTTACACTTAAACTAAGTCTTTTTAAGCTGCATAAATTTCATTCCACGTTAGTTGGTTTGTTCTACCTACCTGAATAAGCTTCTAATAACTTGCGCCAGTTGCTTAAGCTAATTGCGCTTACCTTCGTAACCTTCTTGCTTTTGTAGCATTTTTTGAGTAACGTGTAATATTTTGTACTTATCGCGGATTCATTGATAACCAACTTACTTCATAGGCTAATTTAGCAAACGGTTATGTCTGCTTAGCCGTATGCTTTAACAGATATATTCTATTTGATAATGTTTTTTAAGTGGTTGGCTGTTGCATGATATCCCCGGTGTGGCTGCGCTTGATGTGCATGTTGACAAGGTGCCTACCTGTCTATTACCAACTAACTCGTCCATACTGCCTCAAGGAGACAATCGGTCATTGCTGGAGGGGACGGGGTGCACGGTCCTTGTGGCCGTGCTAGGATCGAAGAGTGGTTCCATGCACTCAGTGTGGAGCGGACTACGGTCCAGTCACCGCCTTTGTGCGCTTGATTCCCAAATACAGTGTGCATGTGTTTGCCTGTGAAGGAGTGTGGGCCGGCTCCGTTGCTGAAACGTGGCTCCCATCCACATGCCTCCCAATCTTATTCCTTCGGGTTTACACTGGATATGGGGTGTGTGGTTGGAGTTGAGCGTGGCGCAGCGCAAGCAACGTATAGTCTCTTCGTAGGCGCAGGCGTCCTGTGGCTGGCCACAGTGTCAGGCACATCCGTAACCGAATGCCGCCAACCATATCCGTTTACCCTAAGTTCGTAGAGCTGTCGAGCCCAATGTTTGTCTGTGTCTTGTGGTCACTCAATGAAAAGAAATCCGATCAAGTAATTTAAATTGTGTAAAGCATCGTCGAGTTTTCTTTTAAAAATGGGTAGCGTGGGCGCAGAAATGACAAAAGTTGGAACAGCGTTTCACGGTTCATAAATTCGAAAGGAAACTCAATTCTTGCGTCAATCCAGCCGACTGTATTGAGTGGCCAGTTTCAACTTATGACCCCTAATTCTGTGTTGCAGCTAAGCTTTAGGAGGTGATAGAAAGCTCGACCAGGGTATTACAAAATCTAGAACGCCAAACTGAGGTCACCCCGTAGACGGCGATAACTTCCGTTATACACTGCTAGGGCTTTCAGTTGCCTATGGTATTGCAGGTGGGACAACCATTCACATTTTTTGTTGCCCGTCGCTCTACGGCCTCCAGTACAAAAACGTCGCGATTTAACTAGGGTTTTGACACCTGGATCGCGTACGCTACATGGGGCCTCACATACACATTGAGCATTCGGAAGAAAATGGTGGGATCGAACCTCCCGAATGCCCACTGTAACAGACCAACGTGTTGATTCGAGGGTTTGAACGCCTGCAAGGACTGCACGGAACAGCCGAGATCGTCTTGCATCACCATCCCAAAGTGTCGCACTTGCGAGGCGGTTTTCAGATGTCGTCTCCAAGTTTATATGCGCACGTGGGCTTGTGGCGGACATGCGCGGTTTTGCACTTGTCTGTGTTAAATGAATGTAGACTTATCTTTGACCATTCAAAGGCGTGGTCTAAGTCGCGTTGCAGCACATCGTGCTCTTCTTGACCGCCGATTGCCCTCCATATCTTGATGCCATCGGAGAAAAGCAGGAAACTTGACTTGCTGATATTCGTAACGTCGTTGAGGAAGACCGAGAATAACCGCGGCCCCAATACTGACCCTTATGGAACACCGTAGTCCACATAAACTGGATCAGAAAATGAACTCCGAACTCGAACCTGAAGGCATCGTTGAAGGAGGAAGTAACCGATCCATACAAGGACCGGGTTCCCTACTCCCTACGCTTGCAGCTTTTGAAGAAGGATGCCGTGATCCATGCGGTCTAAGGCTTTAGAAAAGTTTAGGTAGATGACATGGTAGGTTGGGAATGATGTCCAACGTCATTTTCGGTCGTTATTTCGTGCTCTCTCATCACGGAAGTGAAAAACTGTTCCACAGCCAAGCGGGCAGAACAGCCATGTGGGCTAATCCTGGTGCAGGATTTTTTCCATAGCTTACCTACACCATTATCTACACAAGTGATAAGTCCCATACCCCGTTGATTAGGTCAGGAAGCCTAATTTAATACATGCGCTATCTCTGCTCCAAGGACAAGAACAACAGGTTCCTCGCCATGACTCAGTGTGACACGCTAGAGTTCGTTTCAGAAAAATTCTACCTATACAGAACTTATCCAAACTCCGAAGATAGACATAAAATTTTTAACGGCTGTGTGTTCAAACAAGCGTACTTACTCCAGCTTGGGGAAATACGATTTGAACTCTTGCGACTCGAATCCATCGACTTCCCGGTGTTGCACAGCTTTGTCATCCAACAACGTGTCGAGTTCCACGGTTTTGTAGGCAGCTGTACCATATTCGTCCTTGGAAGAGAAGACCATGTACCAGGAAAATTGCTCCCAAACTAATGTCCGAAAATTAGTACATCATGATATACACTAACTGACATAGGAAAATCAACTATCTCTTTGGCGTTTCCCATTCGCTTCTTGTGGAATTAAGTTTCAAGCGTTGTCCACAGTCTGTCCAACAGGACCGGGCTTCAAAAAGTCTCAGCTATGACTGCCGGTTACTAGGTATTAAAGGAATGAGATAACTTAGCCTAGGCCCACATGAAGTTAGGTGCAGCATGAAGTGGTGGAGAAAACCGCAGCTTTTGGTGCGCAGTTATTCTATATGAATGGGAAGTATGAGTGCTTAGTAAATTGTAATCTCTCTAAAATTTACGGAATAATGCGAAGCAGAATCCAAGCAGAGCACACACAAAGTTACAAGTCTGATTTTTCCGCTTATGAATATGTTTAAATTTAGCTTCTCTCACACTTGTTCTCTAGTCTTCGTATGTGAATCAGCTGCGCAACCGAAACCATATCAGAGTTGGGCCAAATAGGGAAGCACATTGCAGCAAGAAACACATCAGTAGTAAGACCAGGTCACTTAAAATGGTGGCAATTATTCAGTGGAGTCACTTTCATTGCTTATTTTATAGATGAACATGCTGCATATAGTAACGTTATTAATGTGCGTTGCACATGATTTTACTTTATTCGGCAAATATGACTTGTGGTGTGTTTGATCCTCTAGCATTTACAGGATAGTAAAACTTGGCGATTTTAGCTGACTCACTGCGGTACTCTCAGCTCCGATCCAAAAGTACACGTCGTAGACGAGCTCATTGCCGACCTTATCCGTGTGGAGAATAACGTAAGAATCGCCGCTGAAAAACTTCCCGAAGTCTTCAGGTTTAACCTCTTCTAGCTTGAAGTTCTATGATAAGGTAGGGAAGGCAGCAACGGTTCAATATATTCTGCACGTTATTCTTAGCATGCAACCTAGATAAAGGCTACCGGAGCATTAGTCGATTACTAGGTAAGTATTTCAGTGATTTTCTTATGATGTCTGCTGTTATTGTGGAACACCGTATTCAGTCCACAGGCCGCAAACGAATATAAGCTGAAGATCAAAATTGAAGAAATGGAGTCCTAAACACGCGATCGGTTGTTTGTATTGTTTACATCGCGCCATTTGAACTCACAACATCACAAAGCCAATATGTATCACTTCTATACACAGGTGTTAAGGCCTCTTTGATGCATTGCAAATCCAACAGTGAAATATAACCCAATTACTACATGTACCCACTCTTACCTCCATTTGGTATCATGTTTATGTCCAATACGGGTAGACCCAGATAAAAATAAAACAGCGTCAACAAGAACAACGTGATTGAGAGTCTGATCCCATACAAAATATAGAAGATTTGTTAAATGCTTATACTTGAATGAATGTGATTGGCGGTGGACATAAAATACGTATTATATATATATATATATATATATATATATATATATATATATATATATATATATATATACGTTCATCTATGTAACAGTCAACTATTTCAGTAAGCGAATAAACGTCCCACTGTCCCAGCAAGTGGGTTACGAAGCGATATCACTTTTAAACTCATCGAGTTACCGATTTATTTGGCAGCACACCATGGTGTTTTATCTGACCCTTTGGTAGGCAGCTCTGGAACACCTGTCACTTGACAGATGTTACCGGACAAAATGATAGACTACTGACTCAGTGCATACCTTTTCTATACTCTTATATATATATACTTACAAAGAAATTAACTAAAGGTTTATCTGTGCTTGTTCACAACTGAAATGAGAATATTCTAGACGATACGCAACAGACGTGCGCCAACTAAAACTAACCTTAATTCTCCACACCATTGTCGTTGATGAGTTAATGCTCATTACTGGCTTCCAAGCCGGTTCGGTTTGGGCTGCGTCCTCTGAAACGATTGAATGAAGGTATTGGGCGCTAAACGGAAGCTGGGATATACCCGAGCTACATGACATTCGAGTGAATCGTGATAATGTAAACGTACACATGGACGGTTTAACTACGGAATGATGGGGCAAATTATATTGACGGGCAGAAGATACATGCATAGGGGATCTTCTACATTGATCAGACGATTGTAGTTGCAAAAATTACACAAGGGAACCAAATAAAATGCGCATCGGTGCAGCTACGAGGTACAATCATTTTAGAAGCAGGGTTATGCAAATGAGATAGCAACATACGAAACGCAATAACATACTACCATAGCCAACGTCTTTTGTATAGAATAAGTGTGCATCGCACCTGTCAGCATCGATTTATGTGCATCAGACGGGGGTTGTAATTGGAACAAATTTAGGCCAACGGAACACATTTGGAGTACCGCTTATGAAGCAGAGAGTAGACAGTTGAGTACGATTACCAAATGATTTTGAAAAGAGTTACACTGAGGGTATGAACAGTTGAGTTTGAAAGGACGCTGCAGAGGTTGGCCGACCCGAAAGGTGTAGCAAGTAACCAACAGTCGAGCGACTGTGTTGTTGACGTAAATCAAGTGTTTGCCTTCCAGGTAAGTATTTGGGCTGAGTTTCAAAAAATAGTAACATACGTGACTGGGATAGCTCAGTAGTTCGGATGCCATTACGAGGTCTTCGAGTACCTGTCGGTAGCGTCTACCGAACAGTCTGAGTTTCTTCAACCCTTGCACATAACTCTTGACGAGATCCGGCAAAATACTTTGTATGTTGTTGCTCCTTAGGTCGCTCCTTTGAGACAGGGAGCAATCCACAACAAAGTTTTTTGTATAAATAGAGAAGATAGGTGTTCGTCTGGTAGTAATTCAATAAGGTGACCGTAGTCATACACCGGTTTAGTGGCTAATTCCAACGAAATCGCGATTGGACAGGAACAATAGTGTGTTACGGCTATGGGCTAGCTGAACTCATTAGGGAGGCGCTAAATTTCGAATATCAAGCAACTAGTGGCATAAATAGCTACCCCGAACACAATCGTGTTCCACTCCGTAAGTTCGAATGCTGTCCAGGACACTGTAAACTGATACGCAATGTTGACCTTTCAAAATATTTGTCAAATTTTTAACCTGAAGTCTGCATTCTAGGAATCCACAACGATGGATGGCTTATTCTACCTGATTATGCGAAATCACTATGACCCATTCCGTATGCAAGGCATCCTGTCTCCGGGAGACAAGTCAAGTAGGATGGTTGAAAATTAGTTGAAGTTGCTACGCTATAAAGACAAGAACGTATGTGTATTTTCGTTGAACATTCATTCACCCTGTTTGCGAATTAGTTGATATGGCCTTGACTACGCAGTATGGAGCAGAAAACCCAATTTCCTCCTGTTCTGCTCTGTACACACTTTCCATGGGTGCTAATATCAGGCTATTATATTCAGTGGTCCCAATATTAACTTAACTCAAACAATGTAACACCGCTATACGATATGGAAATTCTCATGCCCGGTAATTGCTGCTCACTGATTTGTCCGGTCACTTTGAGAAACCGTAGGCTAACTGCTCAATCAGGAGCATAAAACTCGCGGCCGCTTGTCGTGACCTGACGGATTGAGTCAGAACAAGCACTGACAATTCATTGGTTTCTTTGGTCCGATAAACTACTTGGAAGCCTTTGTTGTACTTTCGTACCTTCATATAAATGTAATAAGTGCAACTGGTGTAACATTCATACGACTAAGCATAATCAAACTGCCCAATGCATGCTGCTATGCTACCATACATTTAGCCGGCAATCAATGGATGATATAGGTATGGCCACGCGAAATTCTACCCGGTAGTTAGTTGCGGTGGATTTCCTCCTCTCTTGAGCGGTACCGGTACCCGTACCGGTGCCTCCACTATCACCCTCCAGCTTGTTCCTTATCCGTACTTAGAGACCCAACGAAGTTTCCGCTCGTGGCAGTTTTGCTGTGCTGTGCGAATGACACTTTCCAGATATTATGACAAAAGTGAGTATACGTAAGATCAAACATTTATGGTGATTACTTACTTTTGACAGCCCTTTCCTTATCTGAACCAAAAAGTGCCAAATTCGTATCTTTCCATGAGTAATCCGGCATCTCGATAGCGGCTACTTCTTGTTGTCCGTTATTCCGCGACTGGTTTTGAGAGGTGCATTGCAAGTGCCTGTCCAATCACAATTTATGTGCGTACTGCGCCTACGCCATAAAATGCGTTTGGCTAGCTTAGACCGTGTGCGACCAGAGCAAAATTGATCGTTCACATCCGCCTTGGCTGTTCTAAACCACCCGACAGACGGCGAATACCGCTACAAATGGGTGCTATTTAGGGAGGTTCGGAAACCAAACCAATCAAATGTTGGCCGATCTGGTACTCATTGGGCGTGTTTTTTAACTCGGTGCTTCGATCTCGCAATGACGCACATGGATTGCTGACATTTAGGGAACTAGTTGCACTGATGCAGAAAGCACTGAGATTTTCTTTCCTAAGAACGGTGCTTGTAATGGCTAAATCAGGGCTCGTCTGTCAACAAGTTTGGTACTGTCTGGAATTCGCTTAATGTCGGATCTACCACCGGACTACAACGAGTCACTAATACCTACTTCTACCCATTGTGTAGCACCAATTAAATGTGTTTTGCTCGTGCTGTAGGATCTTTGCAAAATTTCAACACCTTTTACTTTTGATAATTAGATGTTTGATAAATAGAACAACTCATTGTCCTAGATCAGGATAGCAAACAACTGCCTGCTAGCTTCATTGACTTCCACGAGGGTCTGAATCGGCTATCGCCACCCATTTTTGCTCATCAAATGATCGTTAATGAATCATTCTGATCGGTGACATCGCATTGCAGGGTCAGTATTGCTATAGTCAGCCGACGAGTCGGGTCTGTCCGCTGAAAATCTTGTAAATGAGAAAGTGTTGGAGAAGGCTGCTCACTTGCTACCTCCAGTTCCATGACTAGCCATGACCTGTATACATCTAGGTTACCTGTACTGCAGACTTATGCCTGAAGGGGATCAGGTGGAATACAAAAGTACTTAGCGTGATGACTATATGGTGCGCTTATCTAGAATACATCAGTCGTATTGTATCCAGGTGAATGACAGATTACTAAATTAGGAAACTTATGCGCCATGCTTGATTCCGGACCTCATGAATTTCAGCGATTTTCCCCGAATCAGCCTAGTGATCCACATCCACAGTCAGTATATGACTCCCGTCTTGGGTTGCAATGAACATGGTTCACACAAGCATGTGTGTTGCATTGTCCAATATTCACTGGTAACGAGATTAAAAAGCAACTCATTATGGCGCGCTGGATTTGGTGAGTGTGCTTTATCTATGCTGATGTGACCCATACTGGAACTGAAGATGGACGTGGACCATCATAGTGAACTCATTTGGGCCCATTTCGAATGCCATCTTTATATCATCATCTATTGGTTTTTTCTAATGGCTATTGTGTAGCTAAGCAAAGTTTCTTAGGGCCTAACTGTGCTGCTTGGTCCCAATTTTGAGCCAGCTGCATCAGCGTGCGATGGGTTTTCCAACAAAATGGTTCTATGGGTCAAACTGCAAACGTGCATATCACCGTTAGATAAGGAAAGAGAAATTTGTTGACGGCAAGATGCAAGAATATGAGATGCTGCGTATTCCTCCAGCTTCCTTGCGCTCATCCGTATCCAGATTGCATGCAACCCCGCAAGGGCTTGTATCCGAACTGCACGTACATTTATTTGTTGTTGTCCAATAAGTCGGCTAAGCATCGCTCGCGGGTCGCTGTAGTAATGAAATACTGGGACCAAGTGCAAAACTCATTAGCATTGTCTCGCGACTGCGTGTCTGCACAAATCTAGGTACTAAGTGTTGCTGTGAATGTGCAAATTATCGATTTATATACTTCGCGTTGTCCTCCGTACACCCGGTATTGAAGGTTACTGTTGGTCTATTTTTAATCGCTTAGCGAGACACCGTGGGGTGTGTGTTGTCATATTTTGCATAAACTCACACGGACTCATGTAGGTTAACTGAACTTTCTGTTGATCAGTATATGGGTTCCCGCTTTAGGCGGAGGACAGCCTGAAAAACAAATCGGGGGCTGAAATTTTAGCACAGATTAAGACTCCGAAAACGGACCTATGGTATCTCGAATAAAACGGATAGGAGAGAGGTCCGTTGCGATGGCTGCTTTGCGGTTGCTCTAACAGACAAAACTAACTTAGAAAAAGAAGGGCTGTGCAGTAAAAGCAGAAGTCGTAGATTGTGAGAGAGTTGCCGTTTCGTGTATCAATCACAGAACATGCAACAATGATAGGTAAACGAACAACCAACCTGGACTGATCAGTATCTGCATTTCACGGGTTTCTCCCCTATTCAACATAAAGGCTTTCCCGTCCGGACACTTTTCTATCGGGCACGTATGATATACAAACCGGACACCATAGAAGCATGCAGCGGATCGCTTTCAATATACTATAACCCAAGGGTTACTAGTTGCAATTCAGTAAGCGTCTCACTGAAACAACCAAGCGAGATGGTGTGTCAACACTCGAAAAGCGTGCAATACGGCGGAAGTGCGGCTATTGAAATCAATGAGACAAATGCTTGTGTTTGATTAAGACACTGCCGATGAGGCAGTGCTTGTCCTACTGGCTAGATAAATTCCCCTGCAACTGTTGAGACTGCTACCTTAAGCACACTAACAGTAGGCTAGTTCTCAGGATCGCTGAACACATCCCGCAGTGGGTAAGTATCCGGAACTGGTCTGTGACGACGGGATCAGTTAAATCAGGAAACCGACCTGCTTCGGCAGTCATTGTTGCAGGACTCCGTCCTTCAGCGACAAACATTTATTCTGCAAAGTCAAGTCCTCGAAAATTACAACGTTTGGCAAGCCAAACTTTT